CACTCACCGCACTGTATCTCTCATTCAATCAAATCGGAAACGAACGAGAACGTCTGATAGACGAGCTTATTAAAAGAAATAGAGAAACTGTCAAATCGTGAAGTTTGGGTAAAGCGATGATTTGGTTTAGAAAGAATGATTTTATTTATATATGACTTTTGTTTTCTTGATTGTCTTTTCAAAGTGTAAATAAATAGCTCTTGATTTATGATTATTTCCCATGATTGATGAAAATAAACGTGTGAATTTTCCAATAAGTATCACAAAAAATGATGACATGTATGCTTCAGTCAATATATTGCTCTCTCTACTGAAAGGAGGGTCATACGCAGAGTGAGTTATCTACGTCCGTTCGTGGCCGTGTTCCGACGTTCGTTCGCACAGAATGCAAAAAGGATTTTTTGACCTTCACGAGATTGATCTTTCCGATGGATTTGAAACCCATAAACAACAATGTCAGAATTATTTGATTGTCTTCAGAGCCAATCCAATGTTCCCACGTTTGCGATCGAACCAATAAAATAATTTCATGATGTTGGTTCTATCCAGTGAGCTTTAAGTGCTCGAAATCAAGCGAATCCGATGACTTCAAGGTGCAAGTCCTCTCCAATCAGATTTTCCAGGGCTCTAAAGTGGATCAATCACATATTTTCACGATCTCGGTCCCAGCCAATCGAATTTTGAGAGCTCAAAATTGGACCATTGATGCATTTTCACGGTCCCGGTTTAGTCAATCGCATTTAAAAGGATGAAAGGTGCGGAACTGGGTGGTATTGTGGGTACGGGTTTTGTGAAAGTATAGATTTGACACAATAATAGAGGTTCGGACAATGCTGCTGTCTGTTTTTGTTAACAATAACGTTTGATTAGAAAATAGGACGTATAAACTTATGGTTCGTGCTGCTATTTAAGAAATGTATGAACGACACTGTTGGTATGTCATCCTATTTCAGTGGTGAATGGTATTTTAGGCATGTATCATGATTTTTCTGATAATTTTGACTAAGAAGAGCATTAGAATTTGCTTGGAAACACACAAATGATTGCACTTGTGCCTATATGATCGGAATAAATCTCGTCTCTGTACGTTGTGCCTATGATGTGACATAGATGGGTGTTTTATGTAAATCATGTAAGATGTCGGAAGGAGATAATGGTTGAAAGTAGTAGTTTAAGAGGTGATGCCCATGTTTCTCTTCGCAATGACGAACATGCACGATGAAAATATAAGAGCTGATGCAAAAATAGTAACTTCTATTGTGATGTTGCACTCAATTTAGAAGAAAATTGAGTCTTTTTCGGTGTCTTAATGGTCGGTGTTTAACTCTTTCATGTCGTGGAACTCAATATCATGTACCGAAAAATAGAAATAAACTTTTGAATGTGAATCAGAAGCAGCTCTTCTATTTCCAAAAACCTCGATTCTTGACATCAATCTAAGCTCAGAGTAGGCTTTAGGGTGGTTTCAAGGAAGTCCTTAGCGATATACAAGTATGTGACTCACATCACTTCATTGGATTCAAAGAATATATGTTAACTTCTAGTCAGACCTGAAATGTGTTAAGAGCGAGTCCACGTAAGCCGCGACAGATTTCTACAGAAAATGCTCAATCGAGGTCGTCAGATCAGGCTTATTTTATGATATGTTTTAGAAGCAAGAGTTCTAAGAATATTGGTGAAAGATTTTTTGAAAAACTATTGAACCATACGGTTTTTAAGAAGGTTTTACGAAAACCCTTAAACATTTTACTTTCGACAATGGGTGTGGGTGTGGGTATAGGTGTGGGTGTGGGTATGGGTGTGGGTGCGGGTATGGGTGTGGGTGTGCGCGTGGGTGGGTGTGGGGTGTGGGTGTGGATTCTTCATTAAACACACTCACACTCACACCCACCCCACACCATATTAAAATTTATAGAAAGTAGAATTGTATTTTGTGACGAATAACTTTCAAGTTTATTTAATCTTAAAAAAATTATACTACTATCGGAATTTTTAAAGAAGGCAGGTGGAAAAAAGGCTTATAACTTTTGAATGGAAGGTCATAGCGATCTGCGCTTTTTAGCATTCAATAGATGACAGTCTGTGGCACATGTCAATGTGTGAAAATGGTCTCCCGAAGCACATTTTCAGGCCAGTTTTAGTCGACGAAATTAAGGGCAAATTAGCGAATTCTTTCGAGAAAATTTTTTTAGCTAGGTTTGCACCCTGGCATGCCCTCTTCACATTGGTATCTAAGCAATTTCTAGACTTCGCTTCCTTGAAACACTAGAGGTCTTTTAAGAGAGCAATTACATGTAAGACACTTTTCGCTGAAAAGCGAAAAAATATTCAAATACAGGTTTTTGACTATGCTCATCAACATGAAAGGGTTTATTTTGGTATCGAATTATAATTTTACGTTGAGCACATGAGCACAAGCGTACAAGAATGCTTATTTTCGAGTTTCTTTGAGAAAGGAAATCTGTTTCTTTTACAGTTTGCTTGATCTTATCGTCTTTCTGTTTTTTATCGGTCTATTACGACAACAGCACTTGCGTTGCTCACTCAGAAAACAGACCGAATTAAAAAAAGTTAGGAATACAAAAAGAATTGCTATTTCACATTTTCCTGACCGCCATCAGAATCTGTTTCTTCACTGTCAGATTGTATATGTGGTTCGATTTCCTCTTCCATAAGTGCATCTGCTTTTCTTTTACACATCTCTTCGACTCCACGAACATGATGAACATATGAACTTGCACGTTTATGGTCCATCGCCACCATAAGTTGCTCAATCAATTGTTTTACATCATTCTGACGAAATGTTATGTTTTGGTCACGAACAAACTGTTTCAGATTATTCCATGACAATTCAATTGGATTAAGGCTACGGTGTAGTTTAGGAAGACGAAAAATTTCTACAGCGTATTTCTTTGCAATAGGATCACTCTATTCAACAAAACAAAGATGAAAAGCAGAGTTTGGAAAACTGAAAATAGCGCTTAAAAAATGACTTACAATATATTCTTTTGGTGGACAATTTGCACACATATGCTGTAACAATTGAGCTTTAACAAACTTTTCTGGAAAATTATCTTTCCGATCTTTAAGCCACTTTTGAATTTCTCTTTTTGTTGAAGCACGTTTTGGAATGACTGATTCTTCCGTGAGTTTGTTGTGCCAAGTTGTGTTATCCAGACAAATAGCAATTCTTTCTTTTTCATCTATGAAGAAAGTGTCAGAAATCATTCATGGAAAATTCCACTCAGAATGCGTCAACTCGCCAATCTCCTCTGTTAAGGTTGCACAAGTTGAATCTAACCACGAGAGAAAATGTGTTGAATCCATAGTATGCTCTTCAGTGCACGCTCAAATATCGACTGATGGAATATGATAACGCTTGACATTTATAAGTGCTGATACCGCCAAACGAGAACCTATAAACGTGAAAAATAATGATATGTAAGAGAATGATTTATGAGTGACGTCGCGGCTTACCTCTTCCTCCCCCTTTTTTAATTTCTCCTTTGCCTTCTAAGGTCCAAATCAATCTTTTAACCTCTCGAAGATTCAACCACGTTTCATCGTGATAATACAAATGAACGTTTGCTTCTCTCAGTTCTTCAAGAGTTTGAAAATACGTTGCTCTTGCTGCCACAAAAGCCTGTGAATCTAACGCAACTTTTATCTTTGATGTTCGTTGATAAACGAAACCAAGCTAAGAAATGGAAAAAAGCAGTGTGGTGTTTTTCCTTCCTTGTTGTCAACGTCACAACAAACATTTCACTTGCATTTCTCAGGTTTTTTTTGCGCAATGTACTTGTCGAACGAATAGGAAAATCTTCATATCGCTCCTTCAATCTTTTCAATAATTTGTCAGAGGTTGGATACACTTTTTCTTGCATTAATTTATGAAATTCAAGTCTAATTAAATCTTTTCCTTGCTCTGA